CTTAGAGTAGGTAGAGGGAAGTGAAGGGAGGAGAGGAAGAGGGATATGGGGATAGAAAAGATAGTAGAATTAAACAGACATTATTACTGTATGTATAGTGTACATGACCAATATGATTCTACAACATGTACACTCAGAAAAATGAGAAGTTACATACCATCTATGTATGATATATCAAAGTACATAAATGTATTCTACTGTCATGTATAACTAAATAAAACAAATGAAAAATTTGAAAAAAAGAGTACATATGAAACTAAAAGAAAAAAAATATTCCACTTAAAAATGGTCAGTGATCTAAAAAGGCACTTCTCAAACAAAAACAAATGGCAATAAATAAATGAAGAACTACTCACTAATAATGAGCCATGAGGGAAATGTAAATCAAAACTATAATGAGAAATCTTCTCACCCCACTTATAATGACTGTGTGAGTGCAGTGGCACACTCCCTTAATCCCTGACTCAGAAAGGGGGAGTTCAAGTTCAACGCCAATCTGGGCAATTTATCAGGACTTGTCTCAAAATAATTTTTTTTAAAAGAACTGGAGATATAACTTAGTGGTGAAATTCCCCTGGGTTTAATCCCCAGAGTCAAATAAATAAATAAATAACCTACCAGTGCTGGTAAGAATAAGGAACTCCTCTACACTTCTGGTGAGAGTGTAAATTAGTGCAGTCACCATGGAGAACAGTGTAGTATGGAGTTTCCACAAACAAACTGAAAATAGATCTAGCACGTGATTCAGCCATTTCACTTCTGGGTGTTCATCAAAAGGAAAGCAAATCATCATGCAAAAGAGAAAGCTAGACAGTCATGTTAATGCAAAATTTTTCACAAGAGCTAAAATATAAAATTGGCCTAGGTACCATCAACAGATCAATGGAATTATAATCTGTAGATACACAATGGACTATTAGTAGACCATAAAGAAAATCCTTCTATTTGCAGCAAAATGAATGGTTCTGGAGGATCTTATATGAAATCAAAAAAGCCAAGACACTGAAAGACAAGTAGTGCATATTTTCTATCATACATAAAAGTTAAAAAGATTCAACCTGAATATAGAATAGTAATTAATAGTAGTTATGAAGGAAGGATGACTTGGATAAAGGAAAAGGATATTGGATTCTTGAATGCTAAAAGCACATGTAGAAATACCACACGAAACACCATTAATATATGCAGTTAGTATGTGTTCCTAAGTAAAAATAAAATGTAAAATAGAGAAATTTTTAAAAAATCATGTCTGGCCCATAAAACTAATTTCTATGTATATTCCCAAGAGAAACAAGTGCTTATGTTCATACAGACAATGCCCAGAGAGGTTATCCCAGCTTTTTGGATGGGTGAGGCAGGAGGATCATAAGTTTCTGGCCACGCTGAGCAACTTAGAAATACCCTATCTCAAAATAAAATTTAAAAATAAAAGGGGATGTGGCTCAGAAATATTGTGTAACTAGGTTAAAACTGCAGTACCATCAAAAAGGGGGAAATAGAAATGAACAAAAAATCTAAAAGGAATATTGTTCAAAATAGCTAAAATCTGGCAAGAATTGAAATATCCAATTATAGCAGAATATTGTAAAATAATGTGACATAATACTACACAAAAACAAAAAAGTTTCAACTACTGTTATGGGACAACATTAAAAAATGCCACAAAAATATGCTTAGCAAAAAATGTATTCCAGGGCTGGGGATGTGGTTCAAGCGGTAATGTGCTCGCCTGGCATGTGCAGAGCGCTGGGTTCGATCCTCGACACCACATAAAAATAAAATAAAGATGTTTTGTCCACCGAAAACTAAAAAATAAATATTAAAAAATTATCTCTCTTTCTTCTCTCTTTAAAAAAATGTATTCCACTTGAAAGTGGCCAAGACATATCATAGTACTTACCATTAAGATTCCAGAATGTGAGGTTCAAAAAACTGAAATGAAAAATTCTCTAGGTTGTTAGAGATCAGAAAATTGGTTGCCTTTAAGAGGTTACTGACTGGAAAGAGAAGCCATGAGGGAAACTTCTAAGTGCTGAAAATATTCTTTATAAGAGTAGTGGATCATGCTTGGGTTTTGTTTACAGTGGAGATCCTAAAACAGAAGAGAAAACCAAAGTAGTCTATATTGGCATTGGGAGCTTTAAAAATAAAACTTTGTTAGGGGACATGATAACAAAGACCATGAGTGGGACACTAGAAAAGGTAAAAGAGGAAAGGAGGGAAAGCCAATACATGATGTTATCAGGCTGGTCACTGCTACAAAAACCTGGGATCTGATCTTTCTGGAGGCTTCTGATTCTCCACACTGATTTTCTCTGAATATCTACCTGAGAAATGAGAGGAGTACATATTCATGACTTTCCATTCATTAATTGTCAAGGATTGTCCACGGGTTATTACACACTGACACTTGCAGATCTGAACATTGACAAATGCTAAGTAGCTTCTCTCAGGAGTCCCAATCACATTGCAGGAAAAGTCTAAGGACAAAGGCACAGAGGATGTGACATGCAACTGAAGTGAGCCTCTGCCACAATTGCTTCAGTAAAATGGCGCAGAGGTGTCTGCTACTGTCATGTTCTGTTGTCACACATGTACACAAAATTCAAAAATCAATCTTTCTTGTTTATTCCTAAGAAAGTCTCAATAATCCACAGCCTTACAGCCTTGATTAACTGTTTAGCTCTTCACGTGACCTAGTGGTAAAATATAAACATTGACTAATGTCAGCAGGTGTTTAAAGAGAAAATTTGCTGTTTCACTCTGTTTTAAATTGAGATTCTGGTGCCTAATGTAGAATGCTCACCTGCAGTGACAGCTATTTGTCTGTTGGAAATAATTTTTTTTTACCCACTACTTTAAGATAACAGGAAAACTCAATTTGATACTTTTAAGTAAAATATATTCATGTAGGGAGCTTTGTAGATGAAACTTGGCTGTAAATGGAGGATTTTGTCTGCATCTGGGCTATTCCCCCTAAATTCCCCCAGTTATTGTCAGCTTTAAATAAGATCTGCACACTGCATTTGTAATCTAATCAAACCTAATTTCATTTTGGAACTATTTTCAGTAAATATGTCTGCTATACAAATAGTAAAAGCTAGATGTGTGATGAATGAAGGAAGGACAAGTGAATGCAGGAATGAATTTTTCAGGAGGAAATCCATGGAACAATTTCTTACAGGTGCTGTGTCACCTGCACCTGGTCTGTTTAGATGTTCCCCTTTTCCTGGGTTCCCTCTTCTCAGATGCCTAAGCAAAATTAGGCTAAGTCCCTTTCTCTGAATTAATTTCAAGTAAGTCCTTCCAGGAAGATAAGAACAAAAGAAACAATGAAAACAATAAACTGCACAATCAAATTGGGTAGGCAAAATTTTCAAGATAAGAACATGGTGATGATCTTTTTTCCTTCCAATACTTCATACTCAATATGCACCTGCTGCATAGTAAGTGTATAGTAGTTGCCTAAGAACTATTTGTTACATCAGTTTATAGATTTTAAAGCAACTGAAGTCTGTCATGAATGTCTTAACTCTCACTGTCAGTTGGGGTCATTAGTCAATCCCCATTAGTCAGGATTTCTGAATTTCTCATTTGTCTACCTGTGAAAACTTTTATCACTTCAAATTAAGTACTCACAGTGCTTTTGCAATCATTCATAGATATGTACAAAGTGGTGCAAAATGGGAGTTAAATGAAGAACTTTCGTATGAAAGTAAAAAAAAAAAAATGTCTTCAGGTTTTACTTCTCACTATAGGATGAGCATCCTGTGTGGCCTAGTGAGTGCCACATTTTTCATAGTTTGTGCTCTTTGTTACTGATATTGTCAATTTAAATGGCCCCAAACACATCTCTAACATGTTATCTAGTGTTCATAAACTGAAGAAGGCTGTGATGTGAATAACAGAGGAATAAAGTATTTTAGATCAGCTTTTGTTATAGTTATAATGCTGTTGTCTGAGAGTTCAATGGTAATGAACAATGCAATACCATGGAAAAAGAAAGATAAAATTGGTGATCAGTGGGTGAAGTTACTTTTTAAAGTGACAACTATAATTCTGTGATAACACTAGACAAACAACTAACTTTGGGGTTTCTTGAGATAACAACAGATTTTGGGGGGGTATGGTAGACAGCATTGTTGGAAGGTTGAAAGCCTAGAAAAATTGGGATCACATTAATCAGGGACAGGAAATTGTTAAACACTTCTCTGATAATGCTTCTGTTCAAAGAAATACTGCAAACTATGAATTACTTATAAATATATATTAAATAAAATTACTAAACAAAATACACAAAAAACAAGGTTATATATTCATTAGTTAACAAAAATATTCTGAAAAGAAACTCAAAGAAAACTACCCACCTATTTACCCTAGGAGCATGGCTCAGTGTTCACTAACAGTGTTTGCAGCAGGAGCTGTAGAGAACATAACTTCGAGAATGCACCTTACTCACCTGGATCTACTTCAGTCCTAAGGGCAGCACTTTGTTCATTCTTGATTCCCTCTTCAGTGATGCATATGGGCCATATTTCAGGAATCACTACACTGAGGTGCGTCTCCTCTCAACCTTTAATATATCTGTGAATCATCTGATGATTTTGTTGAAATGAAAACTGAAATTCAGTAAGTCTGAGACCAGGCCACAGAGTCTATATTTCTACCAACACTCCAATGTAATGAATCTACTACTTAACCATAAATGACCCTGAATATGGAGGACCTTCATTCTTCCCTGCTCTTTTGGTTTAGAGCACTTGGAACAATAGTTTTATGCTAATATTTTCCTAAAATCAAATAACAGAAAAGGTAAGAGGCAAAACTATGTTTCTCCTCAGAGACTCAGGAAAAAAAAACGCAGAACTGGAATGCATCAAATCTCCTGGCAAAGCAAGAGTTTTAACAAGAAGAGCATCAAATATTTCAACTTCAACAAAGGTACAAAGAAGGCAGAGAATTAAAAATGTAAAACAAACAACAACAACAAAACCTACAAATCTTACATAATCAACACAGGTTTTATTTTGATAGCATGTTATATTCAGGCCAAACATTTCACCAGGGATACAGATACTCAAAAAGCATGTGCTTTGCTCTCAAACTTTTAAAAGAAGAAATGAACCTACACACCTGCCACAGATGCTAGGCAGTAAGGGGCACAGTTGAAATCTGGGGATGCTCAGATGGAGGGGAGATGGCTTCCCACTGTGGATCAAGGAAGGACCCCTGGAGGATGTGACAGCTGAAATGCATCTGATGATCCATTTTATTCATCCTGGCTGACACTGCTAACATCCTGTTCCATTCAGAGTTGAAGCCACAGAAGCCAGGTCAGAACAACAAATCCTGCAAGATTACATTGAGCATATATTGGTAAATGATCACGGAGCAGAAATGAATTGCAAAGTTTTAACAAGGAGAGTAGAAGTGATGTCATCACCCTGTGGTGTTCAGATGTAGACTGGGTCCTCACTTCAGAGGGCCAGAACTTCAGGGAGCTTCACAGTGTGTCCTAAGTGAACAAAAATATAACAGACCTTCATAAGGTGGAGGTGAGAACTGAGGAGAAAATAGAAATGTGGCCAGGAGGAGAAGGAAAAGTGAGGAAAAAGTCAAAAAAAAAAAAAGAAGGGAAGACCATTGGGGAGAAGGAATGAACAGAATAGATGGATACAAAGAACTCACCAGCGTTTTCTAAACCAAAATCCAAGACCTGTCAGAAGAGCCAGGGCCACTATCACGGCAAAGAGGATCAAGCCCAGGGCACTCTGAGGTGCTGCAGATTCAAGTGGACACCAGGATGATGTTTCAATCTGCATCTATAGATCCCTCATTTTAAACTTATCCATTCTTTGAATTACATATTTTTCTTCTTTTTAGGTCTGGAATTTGTAAATCCCAATTTTTTGCCTTGTCCTCATGCTCTTCTAGAAGATATCCCCCCATCTCCAGCCAGGGTCCCACTCTTACCACCCCAGTGGAGGACGAGGTCCTGCCCTCCTAGGCTGCTGTGCTTCACCCTGCAGGCCAGGCCAGCCGCCTCCCCAGCTGCCACGTCCAGGGTTGCTTGGAGATACCACGTCCCATCTGCATTAGGCAGAATGTCACCTCTCTGAGTGCCCTGCTGCTCCTGCTCCCCTCGCATCCACATCACCCACACGGGCTTTGGGTAGAAGCCAGACACATGGCACACCAGCAGCAGACGGCCTGGTCCAGGGCTGTGACCACTGGACAGCCAGGCCTCAGGCTTCACTGCAAGCAACAGAAAGGACATCCAGACCCAGACTGTAACAAAGATTTAGAAATTTAGAACTCCCCATAAGTCTATAGAGACACATGTTTCCCACTCTGGAAAGGTCACACATTATCCTTTTCTCTTTTTATCCTGAATTTGACTTTAAAATTGAAAAATTCTTGCAGATTGGGTACAAGACTAACCTAGTTGCTGGAGATGAGCCTTCCCTGCATCAAGAAGACCCAAGGTGAAACGCGGGCAGGTGTCACTGAGGAGCCTATATAACCTCTGTGTGTAGGCTTCATTGAAATTGAGCAGTTTGCAGGCTTTCTGGGCCTTTTCTCCACCCTTTGGAGATGGTAAGAATGTTTCATTCTGGAAGCTCATGAAGTCATGTCCTTGGATAGCTACCTGCTTGAAGCCTAGGAAGCCCTTCCCAGAATGCAGTTCACAGCCTACTGTCACCTGCAGATCAAAGGAATCTGGGGAAGAAGAGTAAAGAATTAGAGGAGAAAAGAAAAAAAATGGAGAAAATGGAATGAGTGGAGGCAAAAGAAAACACAAGCAGAAGGGGGTTTGGGGAGTTTAAGAGAAAGAACCCAAGTGTGGTCTGATCAGAGGTTCACAGAAAGGCCACTGGTAGGAGCTAGAGGTGGAGGAAAAGATGATATCAGGAGGGGAGGGAATTGTTTGAAAGTGATAGTCATGGTGTGGGGGAGAAAACCTTAATGTGAGAGAGCTGAGACTCTAACAAACAGCCAGCTGCCATCTGGGAGATTGTATCCATGGTCACTCTGACAGTTTACACAAGGATGACTGAAGAGATTAAATGGGAGAGAAAATCACCCTTTAAGGAGTCACCCAACAAGTGAGGAAGCTGAAGGTACCTGATTGTAGATTAGGGAGAGTGGCCGCAGGCTGCCTCTGAGGTGAGTTAGTAAAACACAGCCCTGCAGCCAATAAGAGAACAGTTAATAAGTGGTAAAAACAGACGTTTTTATCTGGTTGTTTATTGTACGTGCCCAGACTGTGATTGCAGTTTTATGCTGAAGACAGTAGAATAAGTTTCAGAGCAGAGAAGGCTGTTTCCCTGAGGAATAAAAGTTCCCTGAGATGCCCCACCCTCATCCCTTTATTCTCCCCAACAATGAAAGGGAACTCACCTTTAAACATTAATTGAGAAATATAAAAGTCCTGATGTTCATTGAAGTATAACTGGAACAACCTTTCCACATCCATCAACTCCTTGTTACTGAAGTTGCCCCTGGACCAGGGATACAGGTAAATGATGGTATTAGAGCTGCTGTTCCATCTGTGAGTCTGCAGCTCCCCCAACCAGCCTGAGCCCACATGTACCCAGGAATGGTTGTGAAAGGATGAGGTTTGCATGAGATGGTAGGAGATAGACTCCTCAAACCCTGTGGCAAAAGAATAGATAGAATGGGGAGAAATGTGACATTGGGAGAGAGAGACTTGAGAAAGTAGGTGCCCCCATGGGAAAACTCAGAATCTGGAAAAGTGGAGAGCCACCGTTACCTTAGCTGACATCTGCTGCCCCCCAGGGTCCCATGCTCTACCAACAGCCTCCATGAGAGCACAGAGGGCTTCAGTAAGAACATGCAGAATGAGGCCAGCTTGGCACTCGTTCTCTCCAGGTGTGTGCAGGGGAAACTACCATCACCACACACACACACACACACACACACACACACGAACTGGTCAGATGCCCCGGTTCTTACCACTGTCACCTCCTTGGAAGAGAGCAGTAAGCAAGGGGAGTAGCAGAAACAGCATGGCCCTTGCAGATGCTACTTCTTTCTCTCAGAGAAGTCGTCCTTTGATTTCTGTTCTAAATAAACCTACCCCACAGACCACTCTTCTGACTTCCTTATTCAACCAAAAGACAAAACTTTTCTGCCTGAAACAAAGACAATCTGCTCCCTCCCAAAACCCTGATCACCTACTCTGTTTCCCCTTTCCCCTGCTATTCTGACTCTGTGCCCAGTGTTCTAACTTCTCTCACTGTCACAATTTCCATCCTGGTCATCTTCCCCTAGTTCAACTGCTAAGGAACAAGTCACATGTGACTCTGAAAAGTCCCTTACCACAAGGGGTACTTCTTTTATTGCTGAGTATGGAACTCAGGATCTTAAGTATTTTCTCTTATTGTAATAACTTTGAATTATCCCCCATGTGTCGTCTTCCCTGCCCCACCCTGACTCCACCTCATTCATATCTCTGACATCACTGGTTACTTTATTTCCTTTTTCAGAAGCCCCTATGATTATTCTCTGAAACAGTGTCATCTACTGAGTCTGTGGATCATGTATCCAGGGCTGGCTCTTTGGGGCATGCAGCCACTTGAGTAATACACTCAAAGTTCCATGATTAGCACCTTGAATTCATAGTAATTTTATTGAATTAGTGTTTCATAGTGAAGTTCAAGGAACCTTGCATGGGAGCTCATAGGAGCCTCCTCAGCTTATGAAGGGTTCTTCCTCCCACAACCTCACCTGCATCCTTAGCACTCCTCCACCTGCTCCCCACTGTCTGGGGCCTTGGCAACTCTATACTCTGCCTCTCCACCTCCATCCTGCCACCACAGCACTGACCACGTCTCACTGAAGGCCCCTTATGTCATTAGCCCTGTCACTATCTCATGCCTTGCAGGCACAAACAGAGAAAGGGACATACACCCAATAGTGTGTGGGCCAAATATAGGTGCAGCTATCCCCTCCAGAGTTTGCACCAAGTAGTTTTGTAACTGGTCAGGGTGAGCCTCTTGCCCACTCTTGTTCCAAGTACCACACGCATCTCCACATAATTTTGTTCCAGTTTCTCAGTGGTTACCCATGTGCCAAGTGTTGGAGTAACCATTGAGGAAAGGGAGATTAACTTCCCCTTCAGTTCAGCAAAGGCAAAGATCATTAGAACAACTAGGGAAGGAGGAACCAGGCAACCAGTGGGTGGCTTGCATGAAGTCATGAAGTGGGGCCCCCAAGTGCCTAAGAGTTCCTGCGATCATCCTGTGAGTGTCCCTGTGCCCAAGGGTTGCAACATTAGGAAGCAAAATAAAAGCTCAGAGACGTAACCTTCCATAGAAATGAAACAGTTTTGTACATTAGTCATTAAGAGCACTCCCTGAAAGAGTATCTTGAACACAAACCTGCTATGATCTGAATTTGTATGTCTTCCATAAATTCATATGCTGGAATCCTAATCACCCATGTGATGATATTAGGCAGTGGGACCTTTGATGAATGATTAGGTCATGTTGTTTCAACCCTCAGAAATGAGATCAGTGCCTCATTTATACAAGGGACTCCAGAGAGATCGAATAATCCTTCCACCGTGTGTAGACATTCTGAAAGTGCCTTTGATGAATCAAAATATAGGTTCAACTACAAACCAAATCTACCTTGATTTTGAACTGTCCAAAAATATTTTGAAAAATAATTTTTATAAATGTTTTTTTAAAGAGAGAGTAAGAGAGAGAGAATTTTTAATATTTATTTTTTAGTTTCCAGCAGACATAACATCTTTGTTTGTATGTGGTGCTGAGGATCAAACCTGGGCCACATGCATGCCAGACGAGCTCACTACCGCTTGAGCCAAATCCCCATCCTGAAAAATAATTTTTAAAATAATGTGAAAAATAATTTTCTAGTTGTTATAAATTGCCCAGTGTCATGAAGGAGCAAAATTGTGATGTATGCAGTCGAGGGGAGAAATAAACATGCTTCTGCCCCTTTCAATACTTTATTCACTCAAATTACTCAATACAATTTCACTCTATAGGTTCTTAATCTAGAAAATGACAATTCTTAATGCTAGTCACTGCAATAGACATAATCAATTTACAGCAAACAATTCTACATTAATTAATTCACAGCAAATGATTCTAGATTAATTCTAAGCACTGCAAACACTTAATTATGACAGGCTAATGACAGACATTTCTTCTACATGCTAAGTTCAAAAGTCTCAAGCCTTAGGCTTTATGTCCAGCAGATGCACACTCACTTAGACTGCAGTAACCAAGTCCAGAACCAAGACAGGTTTTTCTTGGTGTGGAGTGGATGACTGATTGAGGAGAGGGCCATAGGGAGGAGTTGCGGTGCTCACCGAGGTCCAGATGAGGTGGTAGAGTTTAAGAGTGGTGAGGATAACACAGAGGATTAGGAAATAATGACAAGTGATGGGGTGTCAGGTCCTCATCAAGCCCTCCAGCTCGGCTGGCTGAATCTCTGTTCATTTGCTCTATTATTTATACTAAATTTTGGGAATTTTGACCCCCCTTTTCAATTCTTATCAACTACCACCAGATTTCTCAGTGACATCATTTGCCCTGGGGTCAGAAACATCTGGTCTGGTGAGCTCCACTCTGATCTTCTTGCCATTCCTTCTTATCAGTTGAAGACAGCTTGCCAGGGGCTTCACTCTGTTTATCAGGGTGAGGGCTCTGAGGGTGTGCCTGGGGAGACTGCAGGTTTCAAACTGGAATTTTTAAAATGGAGTTGCTTAGGCTCAGGCCTCAGGCCATCCTTACACCCAGTCTATGGCATGCTCTAATAGCAGCTAGAATGGCTAAGACAATGCTCCACATTTTCACTTTTCCCTGGATCACACAAAATATATGACTGCTGCTCTTGCGTGTAGGGTGGGGAAAGCAAAGAGAAGATAGTTGATTTGGGGTAGGAAAGAGAGGGAAGAAAATTAACTAAATAATGAATAAGGTTTGAGGACCAAAATGTTGTGAACCAATAATGGAAACAGAGGACATATCAGACACAGGAGAAGGAGGATGAGGTGTGTTTTAGTGAGCGTTTTTTTCTCCTGTGACCAAAGGACCTGACAAGAACAATTTGAAGGAGAAAAAGTTTATTTTGGTCTCACAGTTTCAAAGCTCTTAGTCCATAGATGTCCACCTTCACTCCTCAGGTCCCAAGGTGAGGCAGGACATGGTGGCAGAAGAATGTGGCAGAGGAAAGCAACTCTGGACATGGCTCAAAAAGCAGAGGGAGAGAGAGAGAGAGAGAGAGCTCCACTCATCAAGGACAAAATATATGCCCCAAAGGCACACCCCAGAAACCCACCTCCCCAGCCACACCTACCAGCCCACAGTTACACTCAGATAGTCCCTGTCTGGGGATTTATGTGCTGATAGGGTTAAGGCTTTCATGACCCAGTCATTTCACCTCTAAACCTTCTTGCACTGCCTCACACATGAGCATTTGGGGGACACCTCATACCTAAAACATAACAAGGGAAGCATAAAGGGAATGGAAGAGGAATTCAAAGTTTATTCTCCCCTCAACTTTCCCCTGACAGAGTGGCTCCTGGTGAGGATGCAGGTAGCAGCTGGTGCTTGGGTCAGAGTCCCACTGAGGATCTGCAGCTCCCCAGTCCACTGCACCCCTGAGTGAGCTCTCAGCTGTGGAGGGTGGAAGACAAGGTCTGAGAAGGAGAAAGGAAAGGATGGAGACCATTGGGAGCTGCCTGGGGGATGCTGAGAGCTGAGAAAGAGCAACACTGTTGAAGTGGCCCCCCTTTCTCCAGATAAAAGCCCTCTTCACCATGGCTGATTTTAGGACTGTCAGCAAAAGAGTCTCTGTGAAAGAGTCCAATGTAGATAAACTTCCTATTTTCCTGTTGGCCTGTTTTACTTGGCCACTGGCCGGGAAGATACCAGCACTCCAGGTGCTGGACACCCCCTTACTAGTTTTTCACAAACATATCCAGTATAGTACTTTGGCCTTTGGCTTTGAGCTGGGCTTCACACAGTTGTCTACATTTTTAAGATAAGTTACAACTGGAATCCATGGTAACAGCTGGCAGGGGGAGGAAAGAAAGGGGAGAAGAAGCTCTCCCCTTCTCAGGTGTTGTCCTTGAAGAGTTAACTTGCCCAGAACAGTGAAAGAAAAAGCTACTTTTATGTGAAATTCTGCAGACTGGGAACTTATGAGCCCTTCCCCTTACACGCTGGGTATAAAACTCTGAAACTGCCTGAACTCGGGGTTCAGGGGATTAATTGATTACAGCAAAAGCTGTGTCACCCGAACCTAGAAGTAGCCAAACAAAACTGTTTCCTGCTGTCTTCGGTGCCCTTCCTCATTTGTCCCTACAACACTGTAAGAGAAAGTCAAGAGACAAAATAGGTGGGAAGTGACAAGGATCAGAAAATAAGAGAACACCTTTGACAGAGGAGATGTTATACAGATCACTGAGAGTGGTGTGCTCTCTGGTCACAGGAAAACATGAGGAAAATCCAGGTGATTAAGAAATATGCCAAATAGAACTCAACAAGGTGAGATTTGCACCTATCTCAGGGGTATCCAGGATTCTTCTTTTTGTCAAAAGCCCTTTCCTCAGGGTTCCTCTTCTTGAATCATCATGCTTATGTTCTTCCTAAAATGCCTCACTGTTGCTCCCCTGCACACCACCACATCTCCTGATTTTCTCCTTCCCCACACAGCTTTCCTCAGACCCAGACATGAACTCCCCTCCCCCACAATATCACTTTGCCATCTGACTGCTCCCACCTCACCAACACAAATCTCAGCTTCCCTCCCTGAGAAACCCCCTTTCTGTCAAACCCTTTGTAAGGTCATTACTTAGCATCTGCATAGCCATCTTAAGTGACAGCCACCATTTTCCTACTCAAGAGACTTTCCAGGAAAAGCTCACCACTCCTTCATACCAACCCCACCCTTAACTGTCCACATTAAAACACACTGGCTCTAATCCCTGAGCCTCCCCCAGAGAATTCTTGATCCCCAAGTCTGTGTTGCCTCTCTCAGTCTATGGAGAGATGGCCTTTTTTTGTCAGCTCTGACAAATGAACTCTCCTGTGTATCTCTGCCTGGTCTCCATTTTTCCTTTCTGGCTCCCCTGTCTCCTGGTTCCTCATTTTCCTTTCATTGTTGCCAAAACTTGGGATCATGTTCCCCGGTGTGCTTGCTCCCCTCTTTGAGGTTCACAGAGCATCCCCAGGCCCTGATCCAAACTCCATTGTGAAACCAGGCCCTCCATTCTGCCCAATGCCCTCTCTACACCCACCACTTGACATTTCAGGTAAGACTCCTGTCTTTGGTCAA